TGGTGCACGGCTTGGAGACGTGGTCTGATGGGGGCTGGGGTAGGGTGGGGGGCGTGGAGGCAGAACTGCACATTTTGATCACCTAAAGTTGAGGGGCAGGTTGGGGCGGGGAGCTGAAGTATGATACAGCTTGGAGACCCTGGGTGTGGTCCCTAAGGCCCTAAAATAATAATAAATTGTCTGAAGCTGCCGGGGCAAACTCGCTGCGCCCTGGTTTAGGGCTCTGGAAGCACGTGTAAAACTTTCTCCAGCGCTGCCCTCTCCTGAGATAGTCTCCGCAGAGGTTCCTGCCTATTGGGATGGGGGAGGGATCCCCTTTCCTCCCAGATCACCCACACACCCCACCCCAAGCTCTTGATGTAAACAGTAACTGGGAACTGTGAGGACAGAGTAAAGGCCAGGTCTCTGTGCCACGCGCGCGCGGAGAGCGAGGCCAAGCGCGTCCCTCGCCGTCCTGCACCTCGTACCCGCCTCAGTTTGGCCCTTGGATCAAGGAGGGTGCTGAGTTACTACTTCTCACCCCCCCCCGCATTCGCTGTAGGTTCACTCGGCGTCCCGCCAGGGGGCGTCCCTGGAGCCCCTGCGGAGAATTGGGCCTCGGGATGAGACTTGGGACAACTTGGATCTAGGTTTGAACTGTGTGACCGGTGACACAGGCACATGGACCACAAGTGTCCACCTTAGGGAGGGCTCGATGTGACAGAAAACCGAGTTCTTCCACCCCATGTGCCTGAGGACCGACTCTCCTCTCACCCAGGCTGGTCTCCATACATGCTTCCATTCGATTCCACACCACCACAGGGCCAGGGAACTGTCTGGAGAGGTCATCTTTCAATCCCCGCCACAACACCCCCTGCACCCCATTCCATTCTGAGTCTACTCAGAAGCCACAACTTGAGAAAGCCTTCCTCAAAGGTCCTAGATGGTCAAACCAAGGGATCTCTATTGTGCGCCACCTCTGCGAAAAGTCCCGTCTGGCCTGGGCCCTTCTGAGGGTTTCATTTCGATGCTGGTGCTCGAGTCCGTCGGTGGAGGGAACCCATGAGACCTTGCAGAAAGCCCACGCTGGGAAGACACCTTTCAAAGGCAATTCCTCCAGTCTCCGGGGTGGGAAGCAGCGACGCCCAGTGTTGGGTTTCCTTCCCGTTTTCTGGGCCCTGGGCACAGTTGCCCCGACGGCATTCGTGAGTTCAGCTCAGTCCAGGCCGGGACCCTGTACCCTGGGAGTATGGGAGAGGCTCAAGTACCTTTCACAGAGAGCCCAGAGGCTCTTGGTTTCTGCAAACTCAGAATACAGAGTGAGAAGTAATAACTCCTGCTCTTCACTGATTCAGAACGCGAGCACGCGCTATCACCCCGCAACCCAGGAACGCTCAACACAGGCTGTCCGCACAGGACTGAAGCTTAGTTTTCTTCATATCTCTAGAGGTTATTGAGAGCAGAAAACACATTCAGGCTGTGGTAAGGCGAGAGCATGGTGGCACCCACACCGCTGGTAGGAAAATGGCAAAGCTAGGGCTCAAACTCCTCGATTCTGACTCCTGTGCCTGGCACAGCTTGAGAAAGGGTGGAGAAGCGCACAGGCGCAATTTCGCTCGAATCCTCTCTCTCCACTGGACACGCTAGTAACAAACTAGGGACTTAGTGTTGGAGTGATTTGTTGTTAATCTATAAATTATGGGTAGAGAGGAGCAGCGTCTAGATTGTTGGAGGCTGAAACTGCCGCCTTCAAACAGCACCGGAGACCGTCCACGTTCAATAAATATTCGTTGAATGGATCATACATTGCGCTAAAACTTGGGGGCAAAATGGCACTACCAGGAAACTCATTTAGGGCCCTGGAAAGGGGTGAAGGACATCAGGGGACTTAGAAGAAAAGCAGTTGAGGGAGGAGGAGTGAGGAGCAGCGAGACAGGTGCCCCCTACTTAATATCCCATCCTGGCTCAGCTACACATCTCCGTAGCCTTCACATTAGCCTTCCGCGTGAGCTCTCTGATCTTGTCTCTCAAAGTAACCCCAGACGGAAAGAAGGGTTTGTCTGAGACCACGCAGTGTGTGGCGCAGTGGCTAATGGCGCTCGCGGTTTTCTAGGGCTGGGCCTGCGCCTCCGCAGCTCCGGGATTCCAGGTGGAGCTGCAGCCAGCCAAGCGCTATGATCGGGGATTACTGCAGTGTGGTATGGGGTCGCGCCAAGGGGCCCCGCGCTGGGCTCTACCAGGTCCACTCGCCATTGAGCCCCACTTCACCTGAGAGCAAGTTAGTTCCAGAAGAAAGGGAGATGCGTGGGCCACGAGAGGTGGACTGAAGAGTTTTGAGGATGACTTACAGACATAGAACAATCACGGTTTTGACCCAATCGACCCTATCCTGGATGAAGGGGGGCGGCAGCAGAAAGAAAGGATGCCCTTCTCTTTAAAAGAGGTGTTGGGGTAGGGGGAGAAATTGTAGAGGCTTGGCGCTATCCTCCTACAGGGTGCCTGAGTCCTCAGCCTTATTCTTGGCAGTGTGGCAAGCCTGGAAAAGACGTCGGAGGGGTGGGTATTTATGAAGGAAGCAGGGCTAAGAAAGAGGCCTGGGGTCTGACCACAGGGCACCGCCGCCGAGACCGCCTAGGTGGGGCAGGAGCTGGTGATCAGGGGAGAGATGGAAGCATAGCGCTAGTTTGGGGAACAGGTGAACCCGGGTTCCACCCTGGTTCCTGTTTTGCGCCCCACCCCCACCCCCTTTCCCGCTGTGTAGTTCGAATCCAGGTCCAGAGTGGCAACCCGGATTGTTCGCACTCTTGGAACTGGAGGCCCCGGGAGTTGGCAGTCATGTGCCGCTGCCTGGGACCAAGGCCAACGCAGTGAGCCCCCAGAGGCTGTGGAAGATGCAGGTCTTCCCTCAGGTCCAGAAGAGCTAAAGAAGAGGAAAACATCGTCATGAAAATAACTACAGAAATCTCCCGTCTGACCGTGAATTCAATTTGTTTACAAGGCATGGAAGCATTTTGAGATGCCTAATCTCGTTTGACTCTTGCAGAAAAACCTTGCGAAGAATGATCTCCATCTCTAAATAGTATTGAGGCTAGAGCGACCAACGACATTCTGCACTTGATGTTTCTTATGTCTAGCAGCAAGTGTGGTATAATGGAGAGGGAGAGAGAGAAAGGAGACGAGTGTCTGGGGAACCTATCCCGCCTTCGCAGGAACACTCCACTGGAGACGCAGCCTGGCCTGGTCGCGCTTGCACAGAAGGTCTGCATTCAGCTTTGCCCGCTCTTTCTTAGCGTTCACTTGAGCCCGAGGTCGCCTCCCCTCTCTACTCCCGGGACAGCACAATGGCCAAAGCGCAGTGGATGGGGTCAGCATGCTTCCTGACAGCGCCCCCCACAGAAGTCCCTGGGAAAGAAGGACACAGCCGATCGTGGAAGCTCACCTGTCCTTCCCAACACAGGCACATCTGCCCGCGTCCCAGCGCGAGCGCGCAGGGCGGCCTGTTCCAACGCAGCCGGGGAAACGCCGGCCCAGAGGGGGACAGTGGGGAGTGTGTGCCCCGAGCTTTCCCTCTCCTCTGAAACCCAGGTAGATGTGGAGGAAAACGAAGGTATCGAAGTTAGTTTGGTATCGAGCAAGTGCAAAGCACTCTTCCAGAAGAGGATTGAAACCATACAAGGCAAAAATACACAGAACAACTTTCCCTTCTCTAATTGCTATTCATTTTTAAGCCTATCCTTCTGGTTTAAATAGTTCAAAACGGCCCGTTTATTCCAGGGTACTACCTCACGACAAAGAAGGGGAGGGGGGGAGTATGGAGACAAAAATCCAAACCGGGAAGCCTCCAAGACTGGCCGGCCGAGGGTGGTGGAGGCGCCTCCCGGCCCCGAGCGCTCGCTCCGCCCTCCCAGCCTCCCTGCGGCCGGTGGGGGAAGCCGAAACCGCCCCGGAGCAAGCAAAACAACCCCAGCGAACCACAACGAAAACATTCCCAATCCACGCACGCAAAAAGTCCTAGATGGTCTCAAAATCTGCCCCGCGCAGGACTCCGCAGGGAAGTCCGCTGGGCTACGGGGTCCCGGCCTGGTCACGGCTACGCGGCTGGCGCCCCCGGGCCCCGCTGGGGAGCGCAGCCCACAGCTCCCCCTCACCAGGCGCCCAAGGACCCTCAAGGAGCAGGGCTCACACTTGAAGCCTGGAAACGCGCAGACAGGAAGCCCACTTCCTCCTAAGCGGTTTCTTGCTCGCGGGATGAGAGGCGCCCAATTGAAGCAGAATGATCCTCATCTACTAATATCCAGCGTGGCCACAAAGCGACTGGCCATTTAGGCCGCCACTTTAAACAAAGATATTTGGTTATTCCCGGGGAAGCAAGTGCACTTTTGCATGGCTGAGCTGCGGGAGGAGGCGAGCCTTCGCCCAGCCTCCCGCCCGTGGGCTGCGGGGCGCTCGGGGACCGGCCCCTCCCGGGCCAGCCCGTCCTGCCCCGGGTCAGGCTCTGGGCGGCGGGGCCGTGGGCAGGCAGTGTGAAGCATCAGAGGGGCAAACAGCGGGGCTCTGGGCTGGGGCTGGGGCAGTGATGTCCGGGGAAAGCTCTTGCCCCCAGAAATTGCATGTGCGGGCAAATGGGCAGGGGTCGGAGACAGCAGGTTTGCTCCAGACAGGATGGCTGCAGCGATGGACTCTCATACTAATCACCCCCCCCACACACACACACACGCACACGTCCTTACTGCCGCTTAGCAGACTGAATGTGGTATCAGCCTGGGCCGGGGAAGGGGGTGGGGACAGGGAGCGTGGGGGTGTGGGGGTGTTGCGGGGAGGGGGGTACCTGGCCCGCTGAGAAGCCCAGATCTGACGCGGGAGGGGGCGCGGGGATCCGCGACAGCCTCCCCGCGGCAGTCCTTCCCTTCCTCAGCCTCCCCTCCGCCCGCTGGGAGTCTCTCTGGTAAGGGGAAAGGGGGCGGGGAGCAGAGGTGTCCCCTTCTGACGGCGGCGGCCGAGGAGGCAGACAGACGGACAGACTCCTAGACCAACAGTGCGGCCCCAGGGTGCCTCCCCAGCCTCGCCGGCACCGTTCGTGGCGACCCGGGACTGGGCACCGGGAAGCCCCAATGTGGTCCGGAGGCGGTGGGAAGGCGCGGGGCTGGGAGGCCTCGGCGGGAGGGAGGAGCAGCCCCAGCAGGCTCAGGTGAACCCCCTCCCCCGCCCCATCCCTTCGGCTCCCTCTTCCTAAAAGACCGGTCCTAGGTCGGGGATCCCCCGACTGAATGGCACAGAGGTTCCACTTTGTAACTCCTCAAGTTGGCTGCAAAGCAACGCGCACCTTCTTCCCTCCACCCCATCCCTCCCCGGCTACTCTTCACCCCACCTCCGGCCCTCCCAGCTATCGGTTCCCTCCTCCTTCCCCTCCCCTGCCTCCTCCTCCTCCCCGCGCGCCAACGGCACCCCACAAAAATGGGGGTGGGGGGTGTCCAGGAAAGGGGGAAAGCAATGCTTTTGGGTCTCTCTCTCTCTCTCTCTCTCCTCCCTCTCTGAGACCTAAAAATCCTGACAAGTGAAACTTAAAGGTGTTTACCTTGTCATCAGCATGTAAGCTAATTATCTCGGGCAAGATGTAGGCTTCTATTGTCTTGTTGCTTTAGCGCTTATGCCCCGCCTCTGGTGGCTGCCTAAAACCTGGCGCCGGGCTAAAACAAACGCGAGCCCCCGAGCCTCCACTCAAGCCAATTAAGGCGGACTCGGTCCACTCCGTTACGTGTACATCCAACAAGATCGGCGTTAAGGTAACACCAGAATATTTGGCAAAGGGAGAGGAAAAAAAAAAAGTAGCGAGGCTTCGCCTTCCCCCTCTCCTTTTTTTTTTTTTCCTCCTCTTCCTTCCTCCTCCAGCCGCCGCCGAATCATGTCGATGAGTCCAAAGCACACGACTCCGTTCTCAGTGTCTGACATCTTGAGTCCCCTGGAGGAAAGCTACAAGAAAGTGGGCATGGAGGGCGGCGGCCTCGGGGCTCCGCTGGCGGCGTACAGGCAAGGCCAGGCGGCGCCGCCGGCCGCGGCCATGCAGCAGCACGCCGTGGGGCACCACGGCGCAGTCACCGCCGCCTACCACATGACGGCGGCGGGGGTGCCCCAGCTCTCGCACTCCGCCGTGGGGGGCTACTGCAACGGCAACCTGGGCAACATGAGCGAGCTACCACCCTACCAGGACACCATGAGAAACAGCGCTTCGGGCCCCGGATGGTACGGCGCCAACCCAGACCCGCGCTTCCCCGCCAGTAAGTCACGCCGCCCCCACTGCGGGGCCGCGGGTTCGGCACCCGAGGCGCGGTCCGGACCGCCGGGGCTGCGCGCTAGGCATCGGGGTGGGCACCCGGGCCAGCGGCGCCTGGGGAGTTGGGTGCGGGCGTTGGGGATGCTGCCTCTGGCTGGGTTAGGGCATCCCAGAAGAAGCACTTGGTAGCGCGGGGTCCTGAGGTCAGGGGCCGACGGGACCTGGCATCTCCAGGCGCGGCCGACGGTGACTGAACTCTGCTCCACACGGCCCAAGACCTCGGACAACCGAGGGAGGCCACCGCACCCCCCAACTAGCGCGGGGAACGGCCAGGCCTGGTCCCAGGTTGGAACGCAGTCAGGCGACGGTGGGCCTGGACTGGAGTCCGGGACAGAGGGGAGGGCGCCCGGCTCCCGAGGGGGCCGAGTCCTGATGCCAAACAGGTGCACTCAGTGGGGTCAACAGGAGAGGAACCAAGGCACTGTATAGCCTTGGAGGCTGGAGTTTTCAGACGTGAACACCTTCCTCCCCGAACCTCCCAAAGTTAGGGTCTACCGTCGGAACCCCAACTCCCGACCCGAGCTCAGTTCGCCGCCTGTGGCCGGCTAACTCCAATGCCTCTGGGCCCCGCCTTGGGCCGGAAAAGAGCAGGAGTGGCCTTTCTCCCACTGCGATTGATTTCTGGGGTCCAAAGAGGGTGTTGAAACTTTGGGGGTGGGGTGGGCAGGGTTCCAGTACATTCCTCGGCAGCTGGGCCGGGACGGGCGCTAGCGATCCCCAGTAGCAGGGCCTCGGGATGCAGGGTGCCGTCGGGGGAGGGCCGGGCGGGCCTAGGGCTCCAAGGCTGGGCTGGCCTGGCCCGGCTCCGGCCCGACGCTGTGCGTTTGTCGCTTACAGTCTCCCGATTCATGGGCCCGGCGAGCGGCATGAACATGAGCGGCATGGGCGGCCTGGGCTCGCTGGGGGACGTGAGCAAGAACATGACCCCGCTGCCCAGCGCGCCGCGCCGGAAGCGCCGGGTGCTCTTCTCCCAGGCACAGGTGTATGAGCTGGAGCGACGCTTCAAGCAACAGAAGTACCTGTCGGCACCGGAACGCGAGCACCTGGCCAGCATGATCCACCTGACCCCCACGCAGGTCAAGATCTGGTTCCAGAATCACCGCTACAAAATGAAACGCCAAGCCAAGGACAAGGCGGCCCAGCAGCAACTGCAACAGGACAGCGGCGGCGGCGGCGGCGGGGGAGGCGGGGGCGCCGGCTGCCCGCAGCAGCAACAGGCTCAGCAGCAATCGCCACGCCGCGTGGCGGTGCCGGTCCTGGTGAAAGACGGCAAACCGTGCCAGGCGGGCGCCTCCGCTCCTGGGGCGGCCACCCTACAAGGCCACGCGCAACAGCAGGCGCAGCAGCAGGCGCAGGCTGCTCAGGCGGCGGCCGCGGCGATCTCGGTGGGCAGCGGTGGCGCCGGCTTGGGCGCGCACCCGGGTCACCAGCCTGGCAGCGCAGGCCAGTCTCCGGACCTGGCGCACCACGCCGCCAGCCCCGCGGCGCTGCAGGGCCAGGTCTCCAGCCTGTCCCACCTGAACTCCTCGGGCTCGGACTATGGCACCATGTCCTGCTCCACCTTGCTATATGGTCGGACCTGGTGAGAAGACGTGGTGTAGCCCCTAGCCCAGCGCATTGCATTGCTCACCGCTTCCTTCCATCCGCCACAGACCACCATCCACCCGCTGCTCCACGCGCTTCGAGTCCCCCTCCTTATCCATAAGAACCTATCCTCGATTAAATCAAGGGAAAAAAAATACACACAAAGGCCAAACTGCTGGAAATCTTTTCTTTTTTTTTTCTCCCTATCTAAAATTTGTGGATTTTTTTTAAGAAAAGAGTAAAAGGAAATAAAAACAGCCAAACAAATTCAATTCCTTTTGGAGCTTTAAACAGTAAAGGACATAGAACAGCTTTAGGGGTGTCTTTCGGCGGTGAGTCTAATGGGTTTGCACGCTGGGGTGTGTGTGCAGTTTGGGAAGGGCTTTATGCTATCATGGCTTTGGACTTTAACCATCTCAAACTTCACTCTGGTCCACTCTGCCAGCAGCAGAGTGGACTCGCTTGTAAATACCACGATTATTTTTTTTTTTTAAGAAAAGAGGACGGGAGCCAGGGAGAGGAAAGATTCTTCGACATAACCCACGAGTCCCTGTCACAAAGGACATGCCCTCTTCTAAGCGCCCTCTGGCCATAAGGGTAGCCTGGAATGTCCCCTCAGAAAAATTGTTTTATGTTTGATGTGAACTTGTAGCTGTAAAGCGCTGTCAAAAGTTGGACTAAACGCCTAGTTTTTAGCGATTTGTACATTTTATTGTAAAAAGAAACCCACACCCTGTCCCCTGCCCCTCACATTTTTTTTAAAAAATGGGCATTGACAAATCTGTGTATATTATTTGGCAGTTTGGTATTTGCAGCATCAGTCTTTTTTTTTCTGTTGTAACTTATGTAGATATTTGGCTTAAATATAGTTCTTAAGAAGCTTCTAATAAATTATACAAATTAAAAAGATTCTTTTTCTGATTAAAAAACCTTTCTTTTGGTTTGGTTTTTGATTTGGCTTTAAATGGCTGCCCCACTCCACCTGGGAGGGTTCCTCGTTGCCTGGTGGGGTTGGAATTGTTTGGGGTTTAGTTGATAGGCTCAGGAGGCCAGGCTCAGAGGAAGCAGAAATTGTATTCTGCCGGTATTTCAGTGGAGCCAAATTATGAACAGTTCTGGAAATCGGCAACCGAAAAGAGAAAAGACTAAACAACTTCTGTGAGGAGAGAGAAGGAAAGAGGAAGAAAAAAACACCCAGGCTTCTGTGTTTAGAGATCTCAAAAACTGGTCTTCTAAGGCTGAGCCAAGTTTTAAAACAGTGAACTAGGACATCTCATTTAAAACAACCAAGTAAGTTGCTGTATTTCAGTGAAGATCATTTCTATAAATTTGAACAGCAAACTTATATTTCTAGTTTCTAGCCAAGAGTACTCCCAATTAGAATGGAGCAAGGGGGAAGGGTTGTCTTCAAAAGCAAAGTTGTTCTGGGTTTTAGTTTTGCTCTAAACTAGTCATTCCTGCTCTAAGATCAGCAGCCCTCACCTCTACTCCTGATGTGGCTTCTCAGTCCTCCGTCAGTGTGGGACTGGGTGCTGGGGATGGCTCCAGCAGGACTTTACAAGTAGAGGTTTCACTTTTTATTCCAGCATCTTCTTCCACTTGTGTGTTTCTAAATCTTTACAAGAAAAAGCTATTTTTTTCCTGCTTACTACTTTATCTCTCCTCTTCCCAGGAAAGGAAATGGTTTTAAACTCTTTTCTTCAATTTCTAATTTTCTAATCTCTTGGATATATATGTTGGAGAACTATTAAGATTGTGGTGGGAGGCAGGTGGTGATTGTGGATAGGGATAAAAATTATAGTTGTCTCTTCTCTCTCGTCTTTGATAAACCCACAAGTCAATGGAAGTCCAGTGGGTTGCCTACAGCTTTCCCTCTAGATCAGGAAGTGTTAAGGGAATTGCTTTATATTTGGTATATGCTCACTTCTTCCATCATTTCCAACTTTCTTTTAGCTTTTTCTGACCTTCTCTCTTCTTCCAGTTCATCCTGTCTTCAACTCCCTTTACCCAAATGTCCCAGCACCCCTACCCTTAGGACCTTGTTAGGGGTGTAGAATGTTACTAGCCGTTGCCTCCAACCTAGCAGTCTTTTCCTTGATTTTCAGAGGGACTCTCTTACCCTGTGGTGCCTGAGGACTCCAAGCTAGAATCAGGAAGGCCTCTCTCCCTCAGAACTCTCGAGTGTGGCTACTGAGCTAAGGTTTTCAATATCCAGAAAAGACTTGAATATTGCAAAAGTGTAGGTGGGCTGCGTTCTAGGAAGTGTGCTGCAGGGGGAGGGGGGAAGCTCATCAGGCCTTCTATTTTGTAAAGAAAAGCAGAAAGTTTGTTTCTAGAGTGGGAATCAGGAATGTTGATGAGCAGAATCCCAGTGCTAAGCCCGGGGTCTGGCCGGGGAGATGAGGGCAGGTTGGCCTGGGGACATGACTAGTACATGACTAGTACTAGATGGGACCTTCGTTCAGACAGCCCACTTCCTAGCACAAACCTGGACTGGACAGGGCAGAGAGTGCGGCTTGCGGCCTGGCCTGGCGCTGTCTCCTTGTCTGGCAGTCACTTTTTTTTTTTTTTAAGTGTAGTGTGATGCTGAGCTCTCTGTCTTGTCACTTTTGTACCGGTGGAGTCCTATCAAATACACTCTTCTCCCGGCCAGTTTCGTTTGATGTCTGTTTACTTGTCCCGAGTAAAGGTGAATTTGGCCGGGTCTGCAGTTGGGGGCGAGAGACTAACAAGGCCAGGCCGCTGCTTGCCACCAATCAATCACTCAGGCTCCGCGAGGCTCCCGTTCCGTGCTAGGGGGACTTGTCGCCTGCAGGAAGAGCCTTGGAATGCAGTCTGAAGCGTCTCTTGGAAGGAAATAGGTGCTGGGCTCAGCACAAGGGTTCTGAAACTTGGGAACGCCCTGCACACACGGACGGCCCTTGGCAACCTCTGGGAAGCCAGCGGTCATCCTTTCCGCGGAGTCTCTTATGTGAGGTCTCCAGCATCCCGGACCTTGGTGGGACCTGACTTCCCAGGAGGAGAAATAGGGATGCCTCTGGAAGTGAGGTGCTAGAAGAATTACCCCCACGTGAGGGAGCAGAACAGTTCATCCCGAGGTCCCCCGAAGAAACTTGGCCCCCTCCAAACCTCGGCCCCCGTGAGCGGGAGAGAATTTTCAGGCAGCATCCCCCACACCTTTTCTTCTCTCCCCCACCCCCACCCCGCCGTGTAAACACGAGGACTTTCTCGAGAGCCCTGGAGAGTCACTCTAGTGGCTTCGGGGCCTGAAACCCCAGGCTTGGCTTGTTTGATGTTTAGCATCCCAAAGCGGCTCCCCACCCCCGCCCCAGCCTGGGAACCCCCGAGCTACGGGGCCAGAGACTGAGGAAAGAAGCTCAGCTGGCTGGGCGGTGGACTGGGCCTGGCTGGGGCGGGGAGGGAGGCGACAGAGATGCCCAGAGCAGGAGAGGAAGGGTCCCCAGGTTACTGCCGCCACCAACAGGGACACAAGCTGGAGTTTTCTTCAGGGCCGCGCCTCGAGACCCGTGCGGAAAAGAAACGGCCCGGTAGCCCTGGACAGCGGTTCGGGACAAGGGCGGGCCGAGTGGAAGTGGGGCCCGAGAGAAAAATCCAAGTTCGATCGGGGCCACTGGGCGAGAGTCGCTCCGGGCATCACTTCTGGGGATCCAGGAGACCTTCCCCCCCCCCTCCCAGCTCGCTTCACCCCGAGGGCCTGGCAGGAGACAGAGCTCCCCGCTGCCAGCTTTTTGCTTTGGATAGGGAAAGACTTGCTTGGGAGCTTTCCAAGAGATTTCAAGTCTTCCAGAGCCGGGGCTAGGGGAGCTCCGGGGAAAGTGTTTGGATCTGGCCTTGTAGTCTTTGATTTGGAGACCCCCAGGAAGAACTCTCAGACTTCAGAGGCCGCGCACCCCTCCAGCGCGCGCTCCCGGCGTCTGGGCGCCGCGTTGGGGCTATCTCCAAGTTGCAAGTGCACAAAAGGTAGCGCGAGTCTCTTCTCAGGCGATCCGAGATAAGAGGAAATGAGAGCGAGGTTCTCTGACTTCCACCTCATTAGGGACCAGGTAAGGTCAATGCTTTCTCTATTATGTCTTTATCTTAAAAGCGGGTCAATTTGAGATAAGGGAGGAAAAAAAAAGGATCCAGGATCTGTGTGAACTGTGTTGATAAAGACTGACCCCTTTTCCTGAACTAAAGCCAGCCAGGCAGACATTCATTTTCTATAAACAAGAGAGTGGTGAGGAGCTGCCTGGAATTCTGATCGGTTGTCTCCCGTCTCTCCAGGCAGAGCTCCCTCACCCCAACCCCACCCCCACCCCAATTATGAAACTGAAGCGGAGTGAGCAGGCAGTTTTATTTGTGGAAAACTAAGAAGCCCATTGGGAAATGTGAATCTGAGGTGGTCTGGTTCTTGGGTGGTTGACTGACTTGTTTATTTCAAAAGCTGCTTGCATTCCTTGCAAATGGAAGTGACAGGAGGGGACTAGAAGGGTTGAGACCTAATGTTTTCTGTGCTTAAACAGAGCCGGGTTAGGAGATGGTAGACACTTCTTTCCTTCCACCGCATCCTGGACCACAGATGGCCATCTCTGCCATGCCGGTAGCTGTGTGTTTTCCAATGCAGTAGTGTGCTTGGGGCTATAGGCCACCCCATGGGGGGACCAATTTGGGAACCTGCCTCAATTTGGTGGAGCATAGTAAGTGTTCTGGTGTTTCTTCAGTGAGTGACCTCTCCTGCCAGCTTGTGTACCTAAGTGGCTGGAGGAAGACGTTTGTGGATGTGTGTACTTTATGAGAATCAAGGACCACATGAATTCCTCACCCCCCACCCCCACAGGGTTCTGTATCTGAACTTTACTTGGATGAGTCTTAAAGGAATGAAAGAAGAGACTCCATAACTTGACAGTACAGCTTCTGCCTAATCTGAAACTATAGCTGAAGTGATTGGCTGCACTTGCTTCAGAGAATGACCTAATACCCAAGTTGGAGGTTATTTAGGCACAGTCCTAGGCTTCTGTTCCTCTCCTCACTTGATCGTATTTCCCATCTCATCTCCTTTCCAGACACTTTTACCCGTGTTATCATGAGTTGTGGCAAAGTTTTGGAAAGGGTGGGGTGAGGTTTCAGTACATATTCCTGTTTAGTCTCCCCCCCCCATTTTATTTCTTTTTCTTTTCTTTTCAAGGCACTACAATATCAATTGATCACTGTAGTATAATTGTCAGAAAGAGAAATCAAATGTAAACATAAATGCTACAGGCAGTAAAACTTGGTAAACTTTGTCCTCCAACATAATATTCACATCTGACTCTGCCTTCTTTGTATGTAGGAATGAATGATTGATGACAGATGTCTAAATAAGGACATATAGGAGTCTATAGACATAAATATCTACCTTATCCACATGCATATTTATCTTACATATCTAAGATAATTTAAAGAAATTTTTAACATAGAATTGGATATCCCAGAACCAGTTAGATGCCAGTAGCTGAATGGATTCATTCCCTCCGTTAAACTGCCATATGAAATGAGTTTCTTTTTTTTTTAAAAAAAAGTTATTTAGTTTTGCTCATTTTGAATTGGAACATTTATTTGTTACCATGGAAAACTCTGGAGATATAATTATGCTTAAAGAAATATATAATATTTGTTTTAAAGAAATTGAACATGGTGCCCAAGACACAGCTATGGCTGAGACTTTTGGTAACAACCTAAAAAGGGCAAAAATGATCATCATTTGCTGCTAAATGTCCAGTATGCACTAGCAGACACCAAAAACCAAACAAATAATGGAAAGGTTTCCTCTCTTCATTTGTTGAAAATGTCCTCTCCATCTCAGTCATCGTAATGTGGAAATAAGAGAGAAGGCTCGCTGTTCTGGAAGCAAAAGAAGAAAAACTTCCCTGCACTAATTTTCACATTTCCT